AAAAAAAAAGAAGTGTAAGTATTCATAACTGTGTTATTGACAGCTTTTAATAGTCACATACAGTGCTGTCACTTAAAGCTGACAAAGTCATGTAATGTCTCTTCTAACTCCATATAACACTATTGCATGCTATACAGAATGTTTGGCATGAAGGTATAAAGCATTATAAAGTTCTAAAAAATTATGACCCACAATGGTAATTTTTTCTAGACCTCGTTAAAAGCTGTCAATTTAAACACTTGTGGAATGTGTTATAAATGTATTATAATGCCCTGCACATGATGTAAGATGCTTATAATGCATTACAGATAAGACCTTGATGGAGAGTTGGGGAGAGGGGATGCTCTGCTTCTAGTTTCTGAATGTGAAACATGTCTTTAAGCCACATTTTATAAGTGTATATATAGTGTTTATTGCACAATTAATACATTAATGTGTATGTATATGGAGTCTTCAGATAGCACATGACCTAATACTTTGAGACAGTAGCACGTATCAGATATTAAGTGACTTTGTTTAGTAATATCAAACCCTTTTTATTTCAATGATTTTTTTCCCCCATTGATTAAAACAGTAGAAGAACTCCAAAATAATAAAACTGGCAATAGAGTGATTACAAATATGGAATAAGCACATACATGCCGAGCGTTCAGCAAACTGTGTCATGTGATTCTTTCCAGTTGCAGGTTGTCTCCACATGGTGGCTAGAAGACAACCTTGTCATCACACAAATATATTTTGGCTGGTATTTTACATGTCAACGTTAACAAACTATAGTACAAAAAGAAGTATAAAACAAGGAAGAATTCACTTACCAGGAGTGAGTGGGGGGAAAGAAATAATCAGTGAACAGGATGATGTTTATATTCACACAATACAACATGGCTATCAGCCGCAGTCACATAAGATTTAAAAGCAAAGAGGTTACCGGGTAGGTCTGCTCCACACACAAAACGTTTCCTGAGCATACAATAAAGTGTAATTATCATCGTCCTGATCATCAGATATCTTCATCCCTACAAATGCTGCCAAGGACGCCAGTTCCCGTGTCCTCACCATTGTTATGGTGACGAGCGGCTTTGGAAGTTGCGTGGCCGGATCATCATGCTGACTTTGCGTAGGGAATAATAATCAGAGTCTTTCCAGGAGTGCCAAACAATTCCATCTGGACCCAGCGGCCCTCGCCCTTTGGGAGTGTAATGGCCTCCCTGTATGATGAAGAAGAAAATAAGAATTTGTCTTTAAAAATGTAAAATGCAGGGTAATTTGTGTATCCTTACCCTGTAATAGACTCCATTAAGGTTGGCGTAGAAGCACTGGTTATACCACCAACCGCCATGTGAGATCTCAGCACAGATGTTTCCACTGTCTGGTGTACTGAAGCCCTGCTTATCGTGGTACCAACTGAAAGAGTCCTGAACCGTACCACTGAAGCCTGACACATGGAGACGGTACTGATGCTCCTCATCTTCCACACTGCAAGAAATCATGTAAGGAACACAGTTGCTTGTGTATGTTTTGGAATATCCAGCCCAATGAAAGTCTGCACAGTTTGTCATCTGACACTAACCTGAAGCTCTGGTAGAGGGCATGCTTGTGCTTGCTGGTCCAGTCTTCCAGGTCAATCCGCAGGCTGTAGTCTCCCTGGGCACTCAGATCATGTATGTGGTCATTGCCTAACCAGAACTCTGAGTGCAGCTCACCAAATCCATCCCTGTAGTCCCTCCAGTTGCGGTCAAAGCTCACTGAGCCATCAAATCGCCGCTGAATCACAGTCCAGCCGCCACCTGGGAGAAAGTGTAAAATTCATTCCATGTTTGATGGGTTATCATCTGCTCAGCTGATGACTATAGGTCAGGTGCAGAATATTTAACAATTTGACAAAAACACTAAGTAGCTATTATAAATGGCAGTGCATATTTTAACTCTGGCCATTTTTCTGATCTCAGTAATCGGTCTGATATCACATAAAGTGACTGTATCAGCTCAGAAAGCCTAAATCCATAGACGAACTGTGAAGGCTTCATGCAAGTGTACCAAGTAGAACTGGTTTTAAAGGAGGTTTGGTCACAAAAATGGTATTGCATTTATGTGTTGGATGAAAATAACTAATGGATAATCTATGGCACTGCTTTTGAAGTTATGCACATGAATAACAATATTTGGTGTTGCATGGTCACATTAATCATGTCCAAAGTTTTCAAATAATGAGGGTTTACACAGTTAAAGCTCAGGCTTTAGACTGCTCCAAATACTCTGTTTTAGTCAGGTATTTCTACCCTTGGCTTTGTATGATATCACTAAGAGTAGACATGATCATATGGTCATTTCAGGCACACAGCTCTGGCTGTCAGCACAGACCTGCTGTTCGAATCTTTTGTTTTGAGGGGCAGCAAATCAGAAGAAAGTTGGCTTAATGAGAGGAGGAAGTGGGGGTAAAAGCAAACTGTTTTAGACAGGAAATGAACTCAGGGACTTTGCCAAGGATGAGTGTGAGACTGTAAATCCCAGAATAATAACATGGAGTTAAAAATTAACACCATAGCTTCCCTTTAATCAGGATCACTTGCACATGACTTACCATCTGTGTCCATATCGCAATAGACTTCCACAGGCATCCCTGCCAGTGATGGCACCACAGTGTAAAGGCCAGATCTCCTGACACCATTGTGGTAGATAGAGGCACAGTCTATAGGACAGTTCCTCACATGCTGGATCTCTGAAAGAAGAGTAAAACAGGCAAGAAAGTGTCAGAGAAAATCAACAAGTAGTATTTGGCACCCTCTGCTGGAATATCATTGCTTGAGCATGTACCTGGGTGCAGCGCATTGTGAGCATTCATGAGAGGATTGGGTCGGACAATGTTGATCAGACAGCCGGGGCTTCTTTTTACTTTATCCACCAGAAGTGTCAGATTATGTAGTTGGTTCTAAACATAAATACAAACAGAGGCCAACACTCAAAAACACTTTTGCTAACATTTATGACAAAAAAGAGAGAAGAAATTTGAACAAAATATCCCCAAATGGTAATAACCTGAAGGTCTAGGATCAGAGTCCCCTGTAAGTGCAGCAGGGTAGTGGCTTCAGCGTAGTGCAGCTCCAACTCATGAAAACGCTGCTCCAAGGAGATGTTCAAGTGGGCCCTCTCTTCACTCTGAAATCATTGAAATAGACTCACATGTGAATGAAAGGACGTGCAACAACTGAGACAAGTGCATTTTTAAATTAGTTAAAAAATAAAGGAAATAAATCATTCACATTCCTGTGACAGATATATCAATCTTTTCCAGGAACCCTTCATTCACATGTTAGGAGATGCAATATCTGCCAAACCAACATCTAGATCCATCCATCCATCCATAAAGTGTCATGGGGTCTGCAGAAGCCCAGACCTCCCTCTCCCCAGCTACCCTCTGCAGTTCATCTGAGGGAACACTGAGACGTTCCCAAGTTATCCAAAAGATATAATCTCTCCAGCATGTCCTGGGTTTGCCCCAGTGCCTCCTCTGGGTATAACATGCCCAGAACACCACACACAGGAAACGTGTGGAGCAAGTCCACTTGTAATACTTAAAGACAGATTAATCTATTCAGAGCTCAGACACACCACCACCACCAACAACTCCCATCACCACAAACTCCAGAGCCCTCTCCCCTGTCCTGTGCTTCCTGTGCAACACACAAGACACGAGCCACTTCATCTGTGGCCACCGACCAGTGTCTCTGTTTAAGCTCACACTGAGACGAATGAGGCAACACATGCAAGAGTAGAGTAATCCTGTTAGTGACTAAGGTCAAGGGCATGCTGGGAGAGAAGCCAGTTTGATGACCAAGCACCACATCAGAGTAAAGAACTGCAGCACGTTTCCTGTCGTAGGCAGACATGTTTATTTCAAATAAAACTGCAATAAGGCTTATTTGATCACATGTTGCTATATTTAATACTACAGACAGAACATATTAAGTTATAATAGCGCAAAAAAAGTGAGCCACTACATGTATAGTCTTAAAAATAAAACAAGAAAATGTGTTTTCACACTGTCACAATATTCTCCATGTAGCAATCAAAGCTAAAAGGGTTGCTGCTGATGGTTGACTCGAGTCTGCTAAGTATAGCGTCCCCTCTTCTCCCACCTACTTAAGTATAAAAATGGAAATCGCACCTGCAGCTCGAGGACTTTGATATGATGCCGATGGTTCCTGAGCTCCTCCTGCAGCTCAGAGATGGTCTCTTTCAGCGCCATGATCTGCTGCGTCCTCTCCTCATTCTCATGCAGCCAGTAAGAGACCTCGTCTGTGCAGCGAAACATATCGGGGCATCTACGCTCGTCCAGCTGAGGCAGTGTGGCCACCAGGCGACACATCCCATCCTCCATCACCTGTTGAGGACAAGTTCAGACAGCCGAAACAACCGCTGTCTTTGTTCACTTGTTTTTGTCAATGCTCTTATACATAATCTCAGATTTATATCAACTCATAACAGTGTTATCTTTTCCTCACTTAAATTCTCTGATTCCCCCCCCCAAAATCTCTTAAATATATATATACTTAAAAAATAATAGATGTCTTGCCACCTTAGTGTATTATTTTTTATATTTTTTATGCATTTCAAATGTACTTGATGGGAACATTATTCTGATTTCTGCTCAGATGGAAAGCTCCTTAACCTAGCTGATGGATCTCTGGTGTACGGTAAAAGTAGCAAGCTGTTGCAGTGATAAGGCTGTGCTACTATTGTCTGGAGAACATCACTGCAAGATGGTTATTGTAATCACCTGGTTTGTGTACTCCCCACACTGGGAGCCCCCACCGTTGCGGATAATGGTAGCGTTCAAGCCGTCTGTTTTGGCCTCTGGGAGCAACACAATGAGGATATAAAGAGCAGAGCACATGCTCCAGCCGGGAGGGGCAGTTAAGGACAGGAGAGACATTGCTGCCACGGGTTGTTAGTCTTTCCCTGCCTTGTCAGCAAGAGTGGGCGTGGGACACCCGGAGTGTGCGCTTCACCATGTGAGGCTCTGTCTGCAAGGAGCGAAAGAAAGACAACACATGCATTATCATTCCACGAGAAAACAGAAACAGAATATAGAAAGGAAAGAATATAGTTCACAAAGCCATAAAGACACTTTAAACTCACTAAGATATGATTACTGTGACAGACAAGCAACAGAGTCAGACAACTTAGTGTACCACTCATTAAGTGTCTATTTATCCACTATTTTATAGACATAACCTATAACTAAAAAGAAGATATGAAAAAACAAACAAATAGTAGCACCTGTGGAAAAGTAAGTGTAGCTAAACACCACCTTCTACCCCATTCCTGGCTTGCATGGGGCCAAGGGGTCCTTTCCATTGTCTTTGTCTTTTTCTTCTTCTCTTTGTTGCGTGTTCCTCTCACTCTGGACGCTTCATGCTCCTTTTCTCTCTCGCCATCTCTCGCCCTCGCTTTCCTTCTCGATGTGGACATCGTAGTCCAGTAATCCACCTCTAAGAGGATTCACATGACTGAGGGGTGGGAAGGAGGCAGGCATAGAGGGAAGTGATAGTGGAATTATGGGTAAAAGCCAAACATGTGCCAAGAGCTGAAAAATGTCTTTTAATTTACTAGAAATATCCATGTTTTCTGTTAAATTACTGTTTGTCCTGATTACATCAAACAAACCGTGGCAGAGCAGAATGTGCGCTGAACTGTTACATTTAATGGTTATAGATTTTTGTTCTTAATAATTACATTAAAAAAATGATCATCTTATAGACCCACACGGTCAAGGATTGCTGTAAGAGGTGCACATAAAGACTGTTTGCACTTTAGAAGAGAACATAATGTAACTGATATGCATCAGCACACACAGTAAACAAACATCACCCACAAGTAATCCCGCTCTGAGCTAGTAATAAATGATGATGTGCGTCGAGGTATGATGGGTGCTGATCCTATTACAGTATCAAAGTCTTTATATTTTTATACCTTTGACTGCAGCTCAGCATGCATGGTCACATTAAGAAGAAAATGAACTGCAAATCATACCCTCTATTGCATTTTCATTAAGCTGTTATTCAATTGAAAAAATCTTTTCCCAACAGTCTTCGCAACTGTGTTATATCAGTTGAAGAACTCGTGCATTGCAAATTGTCTGATCAGTCATTCACCTGGTCTTTTCAGAATTCAGCAAATCACACAGAAGAGAAGGCAGTGCCTTAACCTCCAAGTATAGATGCAATAAATGCAAATGAATTCCACATAGAAACTCTCAGGAACTAGATGTGTCCCTGCTGTATATGTCAGCAAAAATAATGTCTGTAAGGCCACACGGTGGTGCCACTTAACCACTTTATTATCTGCTGGCCTCTCCAGAGCTCACTGACCTTTCACATGTCAAACTAAAAAAAATTACTCAGAGTTACAAAAAAGGGCAAGATGGGAAACATTTTACAACATATACAAGAGATTAGGACTGTGCACTGAAGAAAGAGATAAGCTACAAGCGTAATGTAAACAACAGAACACTAAGCATTGCAAAGTTTTTAAGTGTCCATTCATCACCCTGAAAAGGAGTTTTTTTCTTCTTTGTTTGCAACATACAAACAGTGCGGCGTCAGCAGATTTACAAAGTGTGGAAAGAAATGCAGGCAATTTCACATCATGCTCTCTAATCTTCAGGGATGATTAAGATTAAAGAGGAATCCCTCTATCAGGGCAGGCAGGAAGGACTCAGGCGCAGACTTGAGAATAACAGTTAAACAGTACTTTATTTTCAACACTGAGTGCTCTATATACAAGTGGGGGGAAAGCCACTTGTGGCCACGCTGGAACAACCGGGCAGGCACCGGGACACCAACACATTCACAAGTACCGGTACTAGTTGATACAAGTACCACAATTGTCACATATATTCTTTTATGATTTACTATATATAAATACAAAAAATATTAATACAATAAAAAAAAAAAAACCTAAAGCTATATAAATAAATACTACCATCCTTTTCATCATCATCATATGATTGTTTGGGTTTTCTCTGTTTTCTTATATTATTGTAGGGCCTTACAAAATTAGGTGCCTTGAGGCAACTTTTGTTGTTACAAATGAATTATTTTAAAAACTAAAGATGGATTTTTCAGTACGAAACTGCATTTTTTCATCTAACTATATAAATATATATATATATATTAATCCACCCCACATGAAACTGGTTACCCAGTTGTCACCTATGTCCCCCCAAAAGCATATTGTTTATGGTGGCGTGGCTTGTCTACTTTTCAGAAGATGTATACTGTGTGCGGAACTGATCTCGGACAAGATGCTGAACTCCCCAAGACCTCCTGATGTATCCATCTGCATCTGCATATTTGCATGAGTATTAGAATTGTTTCCATGCATGCAGTTTGCCGTGTAAAGAGTGCTCTGGGTGCTGAAAAGCACTATATAAATTACAGTCCATTTACCAAGGACTAGCACAGACAGAACACTGCAGAAAAACTCAGCATTGGGTTCACTGGTGACTAACTTAGTAGTGTGACTCTGGCCTGTTGAAGGGTGTACCCAGCCTCTCGGCAGATGTGTGGGATAGGCTCC